TCCTGCTTCAAGGAAGCCACCCTCGTACCTGACTCTGCGCCCAGCTAGCGGGGCAGATGTTTAAAATGGGGACAGCTGGCTTTGCCCTGGAACAGGCAAGGGCCGCTCCCATGATCCAGTGATGCAGCTTGGCTGCGGGGAACTTCCCAAACTTCTCCAACAGGATCAGCAGGAGCCTTGACTGCTTGCCACCTACCACGTTCCTCAACTGCCAGCTGTGAGAAGAGGTGCTTTGGGAAAGACCGAGGAAAGGCAAGAGGCCAGGGCACGGCCCTTTTCGCACCCCCCCCTACGAGCAGGGGGCCCATGCCCTGCACCACACTTGCAAGCAAAGGCAGCTGCAGGCCCAGGACTCGAGTTGCTAAAGGCTCGGGTGCCTCAGACAACATCAGCACAAACCAGCTTCTCTCCCATCTTCCCCCCAGCAACACCAGACTCATTTTTTTGTCACCATCCCGGCCCATTCACCCTTATTTTACACCAGGCCGTCACAAACCCACCTCAAGCCTTCATGTATTTCAACACAAAGCAGCCACTAAGTGAAGCAATGTAATTTATTTGACATTATACCAGACACGGGTGCTCCAGACCCAGACTTGACCTTAAAACAATTTAAAATCCTGGATGTGCTGTATTGGCAGTGTCAGAGTTACCTGCCTGAGAGCTAAACGTGTCAGCATTACAGCTATTGGAACAGAGAATTTAAGTACAGGACGAGTCGAGCTAGCGAGCACTCGTAATCCATCTCAGCTGTGAACTCGCTTCCAGTTTTGGGGTGCTGGAAGAAACGACAAGGCTGTTGGACAACTTTGCAAGTATTTCAGCATAAAGCAGCTCTCAGTTGCTCATGTCATAGTAGTGTCTAACTACACAAACAAGGGACTATGGATTTGTTTTTCATTTTTCTAAATTAATGGGCAGGCCAAGAGAAGAAGCCCCTACCCACAACAAAGAGGCTGGGGAGTGCTCCCTCTCCCTCTCAGGGAATGAGGTACACAATACAACATGGCTCCCGCTGACAGTAGATTTAAACAAACAAACAAACAAAAATCCCACTTACACCGCTGTTTTAACACCATAACACTGCGCAGTGCTATCGCATTGGGTAGAGCCTGCCTGGAAACCTGCCAAGGCCCGCCCAGGGACGCAGGCACCCCCTCTGAAGATGGGACAGAGTTACTGCGACCAGCGATCTCGCTGCTCAGGGCTGCGGCTGGGCAGACGCCACCTTTCAACCCGCTTTACCCCATCTGGCGAATGTTGACAAATGCCAGAAGAGCGAATGGCAGGTAGCGCTGGCAAACAAATCCACAGTCGTCCTCTCTACAAGATCCTTCAGCAGCTGAGAACCAGGGCAGCGTTACTACCCATCACCTCCCCACCGAAGAACCTACTGTAGTTCACAGGAAATACATAGCTTAAAATGCACAGAGATGAGATGACCGTGAGCGGTGCTGGAAAATCCAAAGAACGCTTTTTCCTCTGCGAGTTACCGACTTTGGTTTCTTCAGAGACAGCCTTTAAAAGGAGACGGGAGGTGCTGTACACGTACGTGTGTTCACAGGAGGCAGTCCCAGTCGAGATAACACACCCTTCCACTACACAGCTGATCTTTACACAATTTTCTGCTTCAAAACCTTTTAGCGTGCATCATGGAATCATCCCTTTCTCTGTCTCGTTACTGACATGGAGGCAGCATACCCTGTAATCTCAGAGCAATTCGAATTACCAGAAAGAAAGTGAAAACTGTTTTCAGGGAAACATGCATTTATTGTTAAGCATTCCCAGTGAAAATCAACATCTTTTAAAATGTGTGTTTATTTAAAAAATCATTTGTGTACAAAAGTGTTTGTGTAGTTTTTATTTTCAAGACAAAAAAACACTGATGCTGCATTCCAGCCCCCCCGCTCCTCCTGTACAGGAAGCCTGATGCTCAGGAACCGACCTCCTGAAATATTTTTTTATTGGTAATTTTTTTTTTTTTTTTAAATTAGAAAAGTCAGAATTTAGGATGGAAAAGGCAAGTGAAAAGCAGGGTTCTTCAACAGTTGACATCAGCATTCGTATGACAGCAGCCTCCTTCAGACACCACAACAGAGCACCAGCTGTTGCCGCTAATGGTAAAAAGGCCAAGTAGAGCATTTTCACAGTACATTTCCTCATCCACTGAGTCACAGATCTTAACTCACATTACCGATCAATGGCTCAGCCCCATAAGTGATGGGCTGGCCATCCTGATGCCTACGAAGCAGGTAACAGCACAGGAGGAATGTCACATCGCAGTACAGTGCCAAGGACTCGCAAGTTTGTCCAGCGAGAACAAATCTGAAGTCGAGTTGCTACCTACAGAGCACTGCAGCTGGAATAACCAAGCAAGAAGCAAAACGCGTTCACGACAGTCGGTCTTGTGAGTCTAATGATGAATTGGCTGACAACACTACCACCACCACCGGGAAGAGCAAGCTACGTGATTTACTGATGGATTTGGAATAGATCGGAAAACTATCAAGAAAGAAGTGATTGCCCCTTTGCTAGCCACAGGAGAAAGCTGTGCCTGGAAAACGAGGACGGTAACAGTGACAATATCTACGTAGTCCTCCCAGCAAAAGCTTTAGGTACCCAACGAGCATCGTTACTTTACACTGTAGTTCTGTGATGCAACAGACGGTACGATGAAATGCACCTTCGCTATCTATTGTTGAGCCAATTACTCATCCAAACCACCTAAAACCAAGCACCTGGACACAAATCAGTGGCCACGCTCATCGAGATGCTTCTCATCAACTCTAGCAACAAAACCTTGCAGGAGAGGACACCTCACCTTCTTGCGCCTGCTCACCAGCAGACATGGAGTAAAACTAACCTTCACTGCTAAATTACTTAATGTTTTCCCCTCCGGGCAAGCCTCCAGGTCTACGCTAGCTTTTGGTGGTGTTCAGGAGGGGAAGAAGGGACAGGACACTGTGCACAGAGTTAGGTTTCCCTTTGCGCCGACAGCGGAACGCTTCACCTGCACAGTAGGTGACCAACGCAGTAAATGAGAACTCTTGCTTGAAACTGTGTTTTGATTCCCCACCCCCTTCTCCCTTCCCCGATTAAATAAGCAATCCATATGCTCTGAAGTGCCTAGTCTGATTCACAGCTGTTAAGCTTAAATTTGCATAGTTTAAATGTTTCTGTTACCCACACCATATAATGCAGATTTGGCATTACAAGGTAAGCTTCTTTCTGGCTATTTAATTCCTCCTTTCAGACAACAACAAAAAAAAGATCCTATATTCCTTATGTCAGTGTTCCAATACTAATTTACTTGGAAAACAGTTAAATACAATGATAATTAAAAAAAAAAACAAACCCAAGGCATATTCCTGTACCATTAGTACCTAATTGCTCAGATAAATACTACCGAACCAATTATAGTCAAGGCCCCATGTACTCTGTGGCAAGCTTTTTTTTTTTTTTTAAATAAAAATAAATTAAAAGTTTGGAATATGCAGAATGAACAGCACTAAGTGCCGCATCTTTCCAGAAGGACATGTTCCTAAGTTTTGTGTCTCCGCAACGTGCCAGTTTGTCATACCGAGCACACAGCTTGTTTGCAGAAGCAACGGGAGGAAGCTGCGAGTTTGGCGAGTGGGGGTGGGACACAGCCAGGGCTTTTGGCACTCGCAGGAAAACGGAGGCTTTTGGCAACAGGAAAGGGCATTTCTCTACTTGTGAACAAAGCTGTACTTTAACTCTCCGGGGAACTGGATGAGAGAGGAGTTTCTCGTTCCCCACCAACAAAACAAACAAGGGATAAACCACTTTGCTGGGTGCATGTTAAAACGTTCAGCAGTGAAATCTGACGGATGCTCTGGCAATCAGTAAGCGTCATTAGCAATACCCTGTTTAGAAAAAATGGGGCCGTTTAGACTTCAAAATTACTGTTTCAAGCCATCTTCTTACACGATAGAGGAAGACAACGCAGGATTTATTTGTACTTAAGAAAGCAACCGTACCCACGTTTCACGCTCTCGTCGTAAGAAAGTGGTAAATGTGCAGCCTGCGCCCGCAGCTGGAGCGGGCTGCAGGGCAGCTCCACCTCTGTGAATGCACAGGGCCCTGAATATAGCGGTGTTCAGTCATACAGAACACAGAACTACCATTTTGTATGTACAATCTCACAATGATAAACCGAACGCTAACAGCAAAATTCCTAGGGCTCAGCCCCAGCTGCAGTTAAACTAACCTCGTACAACATTATCCCTATATTCAACTCTGATAATTACCAAGAATACAAAAACATTCCTTATAAAGGACTCACACGTCAGAATTCAGAAGGGCTTCAGGCCACAGATGTCTCCTTAATGCTGGGTCACATTTCCTTCCCAGCTCACTTCTCAAGAAGCTTCCCTCCGGCCAGCACCCGAGCCAGCATCAAGGTACCTTTGCTACCGAGCACACGGCTGGAGGGCAAAGCACGGTATCCAACATCTATGCGTAAGGGGAAAGGGGAAGACGAGTGTTTTGCAGTAGAGAAGAAAGTGAGGTAACTTCATGAGAGAAGCAAAACGTAATGGGGCTTTGTTTCGGAGGTGCCCATGCTCACCTAAGAGCCATCTCCTCTTTTCTCCCCCTCCCCCCGGCTTCCTTTATCCCTTTACATACCCGCCGGAGGAACCTGCTGTTCTCAGGAGACTAATCTTATTGAAAGACATGTTCAGAAGCCCCTAACTGAGAAGCTTTATGTCCCCAACAATGATTTCCAAGTTCATTCTTTTGATAAATAGCAGCGAAGAACAAGGGAGAGTAGTCAGCAATTTTTAATTACCACCAGGGTAAAAAAAAAAAGAAAAAAAAAAAAAAGAAAAAAAATTGATGTAATCAACAAGTTCTCAGCCTGCTTAACAGAAAAGACAGCGACTTGAGATTAACACAAGTGGCATTTTGCCATAGTTTCCTACCGTCCCTGGTTTTCACCTAGCAAACCAGCTGAACAGTAGCAGCTTCTTCTTAAAAAAAAAATAAATAAATACAAGGAAAGACAAAACAACTCATTTCCTTTGGCATCATTGCAAATGATTTACACTACCTCAAGAAAACCGATCACTGACTACACCTTGAAAAGCAGTACGTATAAAGACTAAGCAAATGCATTTAAGTATTGCACTGATATGAGTTCAAAGTATCGACTGTCTGTGCCCTGAAATATTTTAAGTCTGGACAGATCAGACAGCGCAGGACAGGGAACATCCCCGAACCAGCTAGGTCTCTACAGCTCTATTTTCTGGTTCTGTTCCCCTACCCACTATGCTCCAGATATGTAACAGATACAACAATGTTCCTGATTTCCTCTGGCATGATTTATAAACGGACAGCCTATGAAGTGTGAAACTATTTCAACTTGCACTTCATAGCTCCAGAAAAAAAACCCAGACAGACATATATTTCCCTGCCCCATTAATCCACAGCTTAAGGAGAAAAAATAGTCATGGAAAAGATGACTTGTACAGTACTCCGTTATCCGCAATCCCCACTCTCTAGTCTCAGGATTTCTCTGAACTTCCTTGTCAGATATATTCTCAAAAGTTAGCATCATATTCACAGAGACATTACAGCTCTCTTTAAATAGATGTACTAGTGTTTGAAGTTGCAAAACTAATAATTTTCAAGCTTTTGCACTCAGGATGAAATGTCATTTTAATACGAATAAAAAGACTGACTGTATGTACAAGCCAAGGTAAGGTTTCAGTTCTCGTTTATCAGAAACATCAATCCAAAAGAAAGCTAAATTGAGAACACACTTCTACTTCTATGTGCATTTGAAGTATGTACAGTAAAAACACCAACACAGCCTCCATGTGTCAACTAGAGAAAAACGCAAGCAAGGATGACTTTTAAAGTACCTGGTAAGCAATCCTGAAATTGAAGCCCAAAATAAAGCTAGAAAACCGCTGCAAAACACAGCTGATTGCATCATATCAAGTACTCAAAGAAAAAGATTTTTTTAATTCTCAGTACGCTAGCTTTTTCCTCCTTCAAGCCCAGTGAAATCATATTACCCAGAATGTACTGAAGAACATTTTACATCTTTTTAATGGAGGGGAAAAAAAAAAAAAAAAAAAAAAAAAAAAGGAAAGAAAACCAGCTCCATCTTTTTGTGCTGTATCGAGGCATACTCCTTACGAGATTGTGTAGAAAACACGATGGGTGAAAATCATTACCAATAATTCAAAATATATTTTTTAAAGGGGAGCCTAGACTACTATAAATGGCACACGTAATACCCACAGATGATGAAACATGATCTAGTGAGGATTTTCAGCTGTATGATGTAAGGGAGAGGAGAATCAGGTTTCCCAATTAATAAGCTAGAAAGAAACTGGTTCTGAATAGGTCACCATTTGGAACTTTGGGTAAGTCTTGAAAGTCTTTCAGGAAAAAAAGTTACAAGAACACTCGAGTATTTCAATGGTGCTCTCTTCAGCGACCCTACCTAATATGTCTATTAAGTACAAGCATGCAAATATAGGTCAATCCACAGGCACATAGGATCCATGTTAAAAACAGTAAGATAGCTGTGATGAGTGGCACCAACAATTTTGATGACTAACACTCAAAAATGTTGCTTTCTGAATTACTAAATCAAAATCCTGAAGCAAGTTCCTGCTAGTCCTCGTCACACTGCTAAACACTAAAGTAGGCATGTTTGTCCCCCATTATTTTAGCTGAGCTCAAAGAATTTTTACAATATTTAGTAAGAAAAAAAATTAAAGTATTTCCCCTTTTTAAATTTACACAGACGTTTAATTAGCTTTATTTACAGAGCGGTTTTTTCAGTCTCCAATAGTGCCTAGATAGCATCATCAGGCAAGAGTGCCAGTTTTAAAAGAGAATCTATATAGAATCCTAAAAATAACAGATGGTGATGCTCCTCCAGAAGGGGCAAGCTGGACTACTGAAGCAGCTCTCTCTACATGGCTCAGTTACTCAGGAGTAATTCTGTTGCAGTCTCTACATCCCATGATTTTGAAGACAAGGCCACTATTACTGCATTCTGCAATGAGAAAACAAAAGCATTAATATTTTCAGTGTGTGAACCTGCAGCTCTCAGAAGCGGAATGAAAAGTTCACAGATTAATCAGAAGATGTTAGTTCAATATTTGTTAAATCCCAACTAATAATTTACAGAAAATTTGTTTCAAAAGAGGCAGGGGTAGCTCACAAGATGTACTAATAACATAGTATTTTAAAACTCTGATTCTTACAAACAGTTAGCAAAAGAGAACTACGAGACCTACAAAAGGTCACGGAAGTAGCGAGTCTACTTTAGTATCCTGATGACAACCCCGTATTTATACACGCATACTTGCCCTGCCCCTACTGAAAAATATTCAGCTTACACATACTTACCCTATCAAAGCCCATAGCACAAAGGTTTTCTATTTTTTTGGTGTATTCTGGACTAGAAACTGGTGCTCCAGCATACACATGTGCCCAAAGTCGAGCTGTCTGTTTAAACATTTCTGGATTTTGTTTGTACTACACAAAAGAGAGAGGGGGGAGAAGGGGAAAGTTAAATCAACTCAGCAATCCAACGAAAAAGCAAGATGATATGGCAGATTCCAATCCATCGTTCTTTCTACAGTATCTTCAGCACTGTTTCATACTGATCATACTGCTATTTTTGAAGTTAAATTTAGAGGTGAGGATTACACACAGAGTAAACCTACGCAAGCATTTGATTTAATGTGTTTGCCTTTAGGTTAAATTACGCACTACAGGTATTTTAGGCATACAGTCAGGTACTGCTCTCAATTGCACTGATCACAAGTAAAGTAGCTATATTTAGCACAGCTACTGAAAATTTATATTCAGTGTGGCAGAGCACCAATTATCCCCATGTTAACATCTCCTGCATGTACATACTGCATGGACTGTATTTCACTAATCATTTAAAAATATGCCTGGTTTTACACACCGCAAGTAGGTCTGCAGCTTTTCAGTCAGGGCTGACATTTTACTACCAGGCTTCCTCCTGAGAATAAGGATATTGATAGCGCATGTGACAAAAGAGGGGCTGAAAAATGGGCGAGCATATGCAAAAAGATGGGAAGCTGCAACTCTCTTTATGCAAGCTATTATTTACCAGAAAAAAAATCATGCAGGGGGATGTAAATATTACTTTGCATCAATCTTGTCACTGACAAGTTTTCTAATAAACAACAGAATGGACCTTACTACACAGAATTTTCAGCCTGCGCCAAGAACTCAAAAGCCAAGAAAGCAGGTCATCCGTCATAGACTGTACTCAGAAACGCAAGATGAGTTTCCTATTTTAGGAACTTTTGTATGTAATATCAAGTTGAGGGGGTTTTTTTGTACTTAAAAAGATTATTTCCCTTAATCATTACATTTTTTAAAAAAGTAGGTATTCCCATCTTTAGATATATAATACATTTTAGCACCAATAAGATAAGATATTGGAAAATATATTATTCAAATATTTAGATGCATTTTAAGGATGGAAACATAGCTGATCATCATTCTAAGCATTTTATTCATACATGAAAACAATCATTAAATCTATAAAGCACTGTCAAAGTGAATACAATACTTTTCACTGCTGCACATTTCATTTTACCTCTCCTACAGCAACACGCACCAACTCTGCTGCACTGTGTGCTTTGTACACCTCCCACTAAGTCTGCTCCACATGAAGTAATTTGTATATTTACTATCTGATTATTAGTGGCATTAAAACAAACATGGGAAACAATCTCTTGTTGGAAATCACTGTGTTAAAAATACAGTGGTCTGCAATAAATTTCTTTGGTTGTTACGACTAGAAAAGAGGAAGGATTAAGTTAAGCATCAGTAGCATTCTGAAGTATTCTTCTGCTCTTAAGATATCTTCCCCCAATTTTTTTTTAAATATTTTTGAGAACACTGCCAAGCCTAGAAAGCAACTAGCTGAAGTGCAAAGGATTAGTTATAACTGCATAACTGCATTTTATTCAGAACTAGCTTTCAGTGTTCTATAAATACAGTTCCTTTACTTAGGTATCCGTAAATAATCTAGCTTCTCACCAAATTGAGAAAAGCCTAAAGGGACCTTTTACTAATATCTCCGTATCAGGAATCCGAGGCAGTTAATGTTGCTGTACTTAAATACACAGCAGCTAGTTGAAGCACTCCTGACACCAGGCAGCTGGTGTCTGAAATGCAGCCATTATTCAAACAGGAGTTCTCCCCGCATTCTCCCTGGGATTCAGCTCAAGAGCTTGTAGGACACTGCCATTTACCTGGACAGCTTACTCTAACACATAGTTTTGTAAATTAACATAACGAAAAATGAGTGTGGAGGATAACTAATTCCTTATGAATTTATGTTTTGGAAAACAAAAAAAAAACAACAAACGCAAACAACTAAAAAAAGACCCCACCACCAACTAAAACACATGAAGGAACTGGGTGTTTACCACTACATCTCTCAAAGACATGACCATCACTTTCTACTTATATACACATAACTCAAGGCCAAACCCCAGCATAGTTTTCATGCAGGTATTTGCAGGGAACAGGAGAAACTGAACCCTCCCTGCATCAGCCGTGCCACACAAGCACCGAGAAGGCAGCCTGGAAAATTGCTCTTCAGAATCTAGCAAGTTCCGTGAAGTTTTTTTGCCTGAGAAAAACCTCTTTCCAGCTCACGTGCTTCTGTGAGACTGTTACGATTCCCACACAAAACTCTACCGATCGGGGCCAGAATGGGAAACGCTATTCTTGTTCTTTGTAAAAGAGGAAAAAGTGGGTTTGTTTAACAAAGAGAGAGTGTGACAGCAAGGGCACGCATCCGGCAAGAAAAAGCGGTGCAGGGACATGCCTGGTGGCCTTGCTGGCCTTTGCAACAATTCTCCCTGTGCAGAGCAATTCAGTCTGACAGAACTGTTCGGGGGCATTTGTTCAGAGCAGCCTTACAGCGCTGCAGAATCCCAAAAGCAAGCCTCCTGTACTTAGTACTGAGTACAGTACTTGCAAACAGCTCTCCCCCACCCAGTGGTGCAATGGGCTACCTCTGATCTCCATGTCTACCTCCAAATCCTGACAGGTTTGATAAACTGCTCATCTATCATCCTACACAGATTTTCAGAGGGAAGGAGTGCACACTTTGTCACCCTATCCTGGAGGGTCCTGACTTACAGGAGATACAGATAAGATGGGTGCTGGAAGAACCTTCTACTCGCCTTGTACACCCTTACTACCAGTCAGTGGGGAAGCCAGGCCTCCCTCCCTCCCTCCCTCCCTAGGGTAAAAAAGGAAAACAACACATGCATACTTGGGAGTTTGTTGAAAATTGTCAGACTATTAAGTTATGGAATGACTGTTCCTATCTTTCATCAACACTTTAAATAGAACCATGTCAGTCCTGGTATGGCGTAAGATCCAATTGACGTTTTATTGTTATTACTTTTTATAAGTTACTGCTACTGTCTGAGAAGTAACGAACCCTGTTGATTATAAAATTCTACTGATACCAATTCAACCAGCGATTAAAACAGTTATCCCAAGTACTTGCAAGGTAAAAGACACAGAATACTTCATTCAGATGAATTGCTCCTCAGGATTAAATGCAACACAAATTCATCTAAAGTCACTAAATATTGTGATACTTAGTGTAATTTGTAATTACTTATTGTAATCTAAGTTATAAAATTTTGACATTAAACAAATACAACGCTCAACAATATTCACATTCATCTGGAAGCGGAGCTACATACCAAGCCAAATCCAATGAATACCATCAAGTTAAAACTCATCTTAAACCAAAACAACATTGTTTTTCTTATACTAGGAGCCTTAGATTTTAAAAGGCAAGTTATACTGGAATACATTTTACTATGCTGTTATCTCCTGACATTTCTGACAAGCTAAATAAAGAACAAAACTAACAAAATAAACCTCCTGACACTGTAAAATAACTGCTACTCGCTCTGGAATCCAAAGAGTAAAGAGCACAAAACACCATAGTAACTCACACTTACAGTAAGGCAATTTTCCAATAAATTCTTTAAAATCTTTATCTTACCTAAGGTTTGGGACCTAATCTGAGTTAGCAAAGGTTACAGAAGCGCTACAAATTCACAGTCAACTGCGTATCTTACCTGGTTTGCCACTACTGCATCTTGTGGATCATCTGGTTCTGCAGCTGCCAACAATGCTTGCAGCGATAACAACACTGTTCGTAGAGTCATTGCTGCTGCCCTAAAATTAAAAATTTGAAAATGACTTTACCAAATCCCATGCTTGTGCTCACCTTTGCTGCTGTACTAGTATCATAGAAGATAGAAAAATACATGTACAGGTTGTAAGTCCAAGAATCGTAATTTTAAACTGCTGCAGCTTAATAGGTATTAGAATACCTAATATTTTTATATATATATTTTTAAATAGGGCCTTAAATGTGGACTTTCTTATTAACAATGCTTTCTTAAGCTTTTGGAAAACACAGTCCTTGACCTACACATTTGACCATGCCCACTTAAGAGAATTCATTTCATCTGAAAAAAAAAAACAACCCAAGACCCACACCAATTTGAAGTTTGTGTCATCCTTCCTTTCTACCCATAACAGCACCTTGTGCAAGGTCTAGGTACTGAACTGGTAGCCCATGTGTGCTCCCTCTGCTGGCACTCTTCATAGTGAAATAGTATAAACAGAAATAGCGGGCTATATTTTAAATACTTCTAACAAGTAAGGAATTTTATATATTAGGTATCTGTTGCATTGCATTGTCATTGATATGACATTTTTCAATGAAGTTTAACAATTTACATAGTGAATCACTACAATAATAATAAAAAGGTTTGGCTATTACAGAATGTGCAATAGAAAATATTATCTCGGCTTCCTCTCATTTCAAGCTGACATGACTGTCGGAAGCAAGAAAACATTCTGTAGTCATGCTGGTGCTGTAAAAGCCACTCTTTTGCCCCTGTGAAAGAACCCTGTTGAAGGGTAGCATAGTTCTAGAGTCAGAACTTCTAAGGTTCTAAGTTCTCATAATTTCTCTTGATCTCAAAGTATATTTAGAATACGAGACTTCAATAATTTAGGGAAAACCAAGTATGTTCATAAAAGTCAATAAACACTCAGAAAAGTGTGAAATGGTTGCACACTGCAAATCTAGGAAGTTGTAACATTTTAAATATACAGTTTAACTAGATTTTGATCATGAATACCATTTCAGAATCTGTGGAAGTTCAGTACTTCATCTGATTTGAAGAGGTAAGCAGACTCTTAATTGTTGTGGAGTAGGCACAGACAGATGTTCAAACTAATACACAAAACTGCTCACTCTGCTTAAGCGCTAATAGAAAGGCCAGTGGGGAAAATGCAACATCTCAGATTTGAGCAAAATGGTTATGGCACATGAAATGCCAGAGGAAAGTTGTGAGACACAGGCATCCAGTTTCTTACAGACAAACTGTTCAATTTTCAATCAACAGAAAACAGTTTCTTCTTTCCAGAAGACTGAAAGTAAATGCAGAGAGTCTGTTAGCGTAGGTGGGGAAGAGTTTGACCTCATGGTCCAGATACAAAAGAAACACTTTGCAAGTCTATTTCCAGTCTCAGATTCCATAAATTTATGTATTTTTCCAGTACCAAGGCACTGTATTGAGGCACTCTAGCAGAGTGTTCCAATGAACAGAGAGTAGATGCTGGTAAAATGTCGGGAGGTACATCTGTGACACCTGAATATTATATCCCTAGGCGCTTACATTTATAACTTTTGTGCTATGTCACTAACCATTCAAATATGGTATTCTTCCCTATTAGCTTCTAATTCTAGAAGATTTTTCCTAGAAACTTACTCTGGTTTTTTTTAGCTTGATAATCATCACCGAGCTTTCACAGTGCAGTGTTCTACATCAAAAGGCAAGTGAGAAACATCCCAAGTGACAGAGATTTTAATTAGCACATACTGTCTCATTCCAACTGCCACATCAGCTTGAAGTCCCTCAAGCTGAACTTTGCAGACTTAAATCTTAAAAAAAACCCTCATGCTTTTAGATCTGAATTCTGACAAATCACAAAACCTCCATAACATACAATTCTCCTTTTCCAAACCTAGTCCTTAGTAACTAAACATTTTTTTTTTCAGAATTTCACATTATCTTGCAGTTAAATGTAAGTATTTCAGGTTCCAAGCTGAATGCTTCTTCCAAGCCAAAGAATGTTTCTTTAAATTACAAAGCTAGGGATTAACTTGTAAGATTATATTTAATCAGATCAAGAACACCTAGCCACCGAAACATACCCTCAGCTAACGTAGTAAACTCAAGAGTACAAAGCATCTTGTTTTCAACACCCAAATCACACACACAAAAACCTCAGTGATGGAACACAGAAATATTTTTGCTTTACACATACCTATGCTATTTTACTCTTATAACTTCCTGTTCTTTGTAATCTGTCCTGGTTTATGCTGTCTTTAAATTAATCTATTTAATGTACGCGTTGATGATGTAATGCACAGTGGTATCTGCGAGTATTAAATGAATGTAATGCAACATGTTTACTATTCTGGCATTCGGGTGTCGCAGATTGCCAAGTCTTTCAGACCTTACTACACTCAAATGGATTTAACCATTTTCATTTTTATGCAATGAATTTCAGGAACTACCACATCCACCACACACGCTATAAAACCTAAAGTCTTTTTTCCCAGTTAAGTAATTTTATTACGCTATTTAGTGTAGTTTTAAAGACAGGCTTAACATGAAATATCTATCAACTGTAACTGATACTGTAGTTACTTTCACCAAATAAAAGCTGTTCTGCACTTTGCTTTACAGAAATCCTTCTACTTTAGAGACATCTGAAAAGACTGCCATTATTTAAAGTAGAGAAGATGACACAAAAGGGGTCACAGCGATGTGCGCCACTTTTACACGCAGTTTACTTCCACCTACGCGGTACCTTCTAGGAGTCGAAAACAGACCTTGGGGAGCAAGGGGCACCTAACGACCAAAGGTGCCACAGACGCCTAGAACACAAGTTCTGTGCTGGCTCCAGCCATCTCTGGCTTTCAGGACTGCTAGGCCCTTTCAGTCCCTGTTCATCTGTTATGTTTGTAGATTTTTAAATAAAGCACACTGGGACTTGAACTTCTGTTCTGACATTCCAATTCCAAAATGAGTAATAAAAATAAATACCTCATCCATTTGGATATACAGATGGCTATACGCTCAGAGAACTCAAACTCTAAAATAATAAGTTTGTAGACAAGACTAGCTTAGCTACATATGTAAAAAGGTTTAAAAATGTAGTTTACAACTTATTTTCAAGTCTCACGTCTCAAAATGGCTTTCACATCTCATGCATAATAACACAAAGTCTTCACTGGACACAAACATTTACGGAAGTAGTATCCTTAAATCATAAAAGAAAACCCGACAGAGCTTCAGCTGCTGCTTGTATTTAAAAAAGGAAATTAAAGTTTGTGATTAATGGTAAAGAAAATCTGACATATTTCATGAAACTATTGTATACTCATATAATATTTTCTATCTTTATGACACCAATTAGCTTTCCTGATCGAAGAAAGTAACTAAGACTGCTATGTAGAAAATAACAGGACCTTTATTTTTCAGACGTAAATTAAGACTCCCAGAAGAAACTGGAGGGACAGCTAAAAACAGATTCTCATTTCCCAAATACCTGAAAAAGTTCTTCTTCCTTCCCATTACCTTCTTTTGTGAGAATAAAGTGAAGGGGGATGGCTGCCCAGAATTACGTTTACAGACACTAGTAAGGCAGGACCTGTTCCTCATTGGCAAAGAGCAAAACCAGTTCTCATCATCAGTTCTGGAGGAAAATCTATGCTGATAGTGGCACAAAACAGAAAAACCCAACACCACCACTCCCCCAACATCCCATCCCCACAAGTTAGAGAAGAATGCGCTGCAAAAAAAGTTGTATTTTCCTTCAAACGTATTTCCAGTGGAAACATACACATCATCTGCATTTTCCAGTGGTCCTCAAGGGTTTATTTTTCCAGAACAGAATCCTGAAAAAAAAAAAGATTTCCAACTCTTCTTATTTCTAGGTGTGGATTTATGTGCAACATCTCATGGAGTTCAAGCAATTCCCTTTGGTAACTCAAGCTAGCTGCATGCCTGGGTTTTAGCTTTTTTCTCTCTTCTTTGCCAAAGGCAAGGTTTTGTATCACTCCTGACAGACTTCTGTCTAATCTGTTCTTAACTGGAGCCTCACAAGTTTGTCGGAAAAATCTATTTCAGTGCTTCAACAGGCTTGATATTCTGCATGCTAAAGCTGGTTTCCAATCTTTCATTGTAGGTTGTATGTGCTTAGACCATCATTCTTGTTACTTTACTCTGCATTTTTTCTTATGGTACCCATCTTTCTTGGAATACAGAGTTCAAAGTGGGTACACTACCCCAATGGAAGCCTGACCAATCATAAATAAAGAGCAGGCAGCTTATATCATGAGTTTTGTAGGTAAAACTTCCTACATCCCAGCATCCTATTTGCCTTGCACATAACATTGCCTTTGTCCCATAACATTACTGGCCTCTGTTTTCTCCTGAAGTTTACCCTTGACTCCCACCCCCATCCCAAAATGCTACTTAGCCACTATGCAGGCTTCCAAGTTTGACATCTACAAAATGGGAGGAAAGGCCAGTAAACATCTACCAGTGAGCTGCAGCAAGCTCACTACAGGGAAGCACTGTCCCTCTGAGAACTTAAAACTAAAAGCCTCCACTCTGGACATCCTAAACAAAAAACAGGTTTTCTATGGGCATTGCATTTCTTAAACAGCATGGGAAACCTGGAGTGAATCACAACAAAGAAAGCTGATGTGTATTTTATTTACTTTTTTTTTTTTTTTTAAGGTAGTATCTTGGGGCATTTCCATTAAAAAAAGAGCACCCCTAGTTTGGATGAATATAGTGATAATATTAAAAAGCACAGCAAGCCAGCCGTGCCCAGCATGCCTGAGGCAAGAAATCTCTTACCTTTCAATGAGCTGGAAGAGTCCTAAGAGGATTATGAAACACTGCCAGTTTTTCTTTTTCTTCTTCATTTTTAAAGGCTAAGTAATTTTCCATTTAGGAAGTTTTTACTTATGTTCTGTACATTCCTCTCTGGAAACAATCTCTCTAGATACTCCAAGAGGTAACCCAGCAGAACAACAGGAACAGCTGCAGCCAGCAGATTGCTGCTCCACTCAACCAAACAGGGCTACTTGGAACAGTTTTTTAAATTTATTTTTATTTTTTAAAATAATCTGCAATATTTATTCCATTTGTGAAATAGCTAAGCTTGTTAATCCAAGAAAAAAAGCTCTGAGAACTTATACCAAGGGCTTACAGAATCGGGGAGGAGGGAGGAAATCAATAAGGCCTTTGAGTGGAAGCCCGTTGTATAGTCACTGTTTACAAGAGAAATACACGTTTGGGCACCCATCAGGGAAAGAAAGAAAGAAAAAAGAAAAAAAAAAAGAGAGAATAATAGAATAGCTTTGACATAGTGCAGGGAGGGGAAGACAGCCTGCTTGCTGAAGAGTTCCCTCAAACAACGTTAATATTCTTTGCATATTTCTTGCATATTTCTCAAAGCTTTAAAGAGGCTCAGTGCTCCTCAAACACCCTGAACAAAACCCAGCAGTTTTAGTAATCATCTTCTTGGGCATCTGTGAGCTGGCTGTTGCTTATGTATCTATTAAAATTGCATTATCTCTTGTAATAATGATTTCTGCATCTCAACTGAAACTGAAGCGTGAATCCTCCAGTACAGCCACTATGAAAAAAAATTATTATTCATTTTTATTTCAATTGTCAAAACCACAACAGCCAAGGGTTTTTTGCAGCCATACACACCACCACACATTCACTTGATAATCACTGCTCAAGGGATTTACACAGAACAGCTTCCAAGTAATTTACTTCTCAGGTTTCAATGAGCAGTATTAGATACAGTTTATATTTAAGAATAAAATTTTGAGACAGAATACTAGCCTGGAAGATAAATATATGCTACAATAAGTGAAACCACATAACAAAAGTCATACTAAATCAGCATAAACAGTATTCCTTCTACAAAATCCTATTCCTATTTTAATTCTACCAGCAAACAGTAACCGTTATGCAAACAAACTGGCATAACAGGTATTTACAAATCTAAACATGATGAAAACCCATAGCTGCAAAGAATTCCAGCATCAAGCATATACTGTGGAGAAAGAATTTCATTAAGCTCATTAAAAAAATCATTTAAAGACATTACTTTGCAAACTGATAAAGCCTCCTGCCAATATGCAGAACAGTATCTCAACTATGCTCATTAGAATAAAAAAATCATTGTGGGATGGGTGAGTAGGGAAGAGACTTTTTTTTAAACTATGCAAACACATTAAAATCTTTGTATTTGTACTCACCATAAATAAATGAGTATTTTATCAATTTATTAACTCTTTAAGAAACCCTACTAAGTCCCACATGCTCAAATTCTGTCCTTCAGCTCCCACTGACCTCATTGAAAAACACAGATATGCATTGGAATTTGAGACTTATATTTAAACAGAGCAACAACAGCAGCATTATTCACTTAAGAGCATTACAAATCAATGAAGTGGCACTTCAGAAGCAGAGCTTGTTACTGAAAGATTTGACAAGAGAGATTGTGGAACTAAATATATTTTCTAGAACACAGCCATTAGACTATTTCAGAATTGCATTTGTCCCATTTACCTTTGAATACCTGGTAAAATCCATTAAATATTAAATTATCAAGGTTGGGGGGGTGTTGCCTGGGGTTTTTTTCTGTTTGTTTGTTTGCTTTCTAATGAAGCGATAATTTTATTCAAACCGTTGTTCAACCTACACATGCAGGAAACATACAGCGATGTGGGCACTTCTCAGTTTAAACCACTGAAACAGCATATACTGAAGAAAAATAAACAACTTATTTAAACAATATTAACCATTTATATGGTTTAGGAAGTTTCAGGAAGCTACTCAGAAAAAAGTTGTATCTATCACAACACCGAAATCCTCAAACAATAAAGGATGGAGGTAGCCAGAATAGTTTATTCTTCCCCAAAGGACCGAAGGCTTTGACAAGCACTTCAACAATGCTCAAGGGATTTTCATTTATCATTCTATGATTAAAAAAACAAACAAAACTTACAAAGAGCACCACTAGAAAATGAAGAGAACACTACGCTAAGAATCATTTGAAAAGGGATTATTAAGTATATAGGAAGCCGCCCCCCCGCCATCACTAAGTTCTGTGAAATTCTTTCTTTAGTGCTTCCAAATGAAGATTGTGTTTCAAAGGAAGAATTTAACAGTATATAAGCGGCACAATATCAGTGGTACCTGTGCCAGCCAGTTTAAATACACAGAAGGGAAGTTCTTCCGACACACCTATTTTGTATACATATTGGTGAATGAAGGTATTAATGGCTTTTTTTCCTTTGTCAGGCAGAACTAAGATACAAATCAAGTTATCTGTGCAAGACCTAACTTTCAAAGAGTACAAGAACACAAAGTCAAATCTCCAAATCTCAATGGGTTTGACAAAAAAAAAAAAAAAAAAAGTTAAAGCTCCCAATTTCTTTAGGTCTCTGTAGCCTTTTTTGGCATTTTATATTTTTCAGTTTGATCAGCCACTGAAAAGGCCAGCAACTTTCATCTTAAAGCTCTTAACTGTTTCACTCTAAAAGCAGCAGTTTTGGGATAAGACTGAATTTTGTGAGACTGTTTCAAGTCACAATGTTTGGCAATGCTAAAAGACAACAGAAGACCTGTTCCAGGGCTGGAAACCAAAATGTGGTCTCCTGAATCCCAGTCTGTTGCTACAGAAGCAAGATCATCCATCCTTCTCCTCAGAAAACACTAATTAGGGAATATGTTAATGTAAGAAGATAACAAGAAAATGTTTTAAAAAAGCTGTTAAATGACTTTGGGTTTAATTCAGAATGCAATAAATAAGGATGACTTCTGCTAGGAGCTGTCTTTCCTCCAAGTTTCTAGGGGAAAATGCTAGATAAGAGTCGTTTTTGGAAACATGATGTTTAGGGGCTTCAGTATGGAAAGATTAGCCCTGATGATACTTGTTAAAAGTCACAGACTTTGACACTATGAGTAAAACAACTAGACAGTGAATAAAGGAGTACCAAAAGACGGAAGCAAAAACCCCAAACCCTGAGATTAAAAACTTTGGATAAATTCTTCCCAGGAGAGTATTAATGACACTGGGATGCAGTTCCATGTTAAGCACCTTTGTTGCTAGAAATAAAGAATTTTTGTCTTCCCATATCCTCACTACTTAAACCTTGTCCTGAGTGAAACAAGCCTACCTGGGAGAGCAGGTTTATGTGCTCTAGTTCAAGTCACTGAAGTGATCCCCATTAAAAACACCCTCAAAATTTGTTTGGGTTGTTTTGCCAAAAAACCCAAACAACCCAAAGCCAACCAAACAAAAATCCAAAAAAATCCCAACACACAAACCAGCCAGCCAGCCTCATGCCCATTCGCTAATCTGTTTTAGAGTATGAGCTCTCAGGACACTGCACTTGCAGTCAGAGTCAATTATCTCCAGTATAACTGTAGGGTGGGATGAATAACTAGGTGCCGGGGTACAAAAGTGCACTGGCTTTACTGATAGAAAAATTATACTATGTACCATGGCACGTATGTTGAAAAATTCTACTGCCTGAAAGAACATCAAGTGCTCTGAGACTGTAAGAAGAAATATGCAGTTCCAGAAATGAAAAAGACAATTTATGACTATTATGATTTCATGTTAGTAATTTACACATCGCCATATGATTTGCATAATCTTCTCACTCTGTAAAAGGTGAATACACTGGATGTGTCAGCTGCAAGACCTCAACTCAAGCTTCCTGCTTTAGAGTTTCTCTTTCAAACCCAACTGATGTCTGCTTGGCCAATAACAGTCTTGATGAAGTTGGTGAATTTACAAGCATTTGAAGCTTGTATGGATTAGATATTGATATTATCTGCAGGGGAATTACAGTCCTGTTCTTTTGGGGCAGACATGGAGGAAAACAACAAAAGATTAATTCCATTCATGTTAGATATCACGTCTATCATACAATTGGCGTATACGATCTTCAAACCACAAGAAATGTATCACTTGGAAAAAACAAATGAACAATTTGTTCAGCTGTTACAGTTTGGACACTTATAGGTCTATTCCTCAGAATTCAGCTATTAAAACTTTTTCAGTAACATTAAGTAATCGAAAGTCAGCAACTGGCCAGCAACTGTAAGGCAAATGGTTTACAGACGTACAAATCACAAATATTATTCATGGTAACTGTGAGACAGAATCAGTACGGTCAGTCTCTTCTCCCTTTCCTAGTGCTGATCTGTTAACCTTTTATACTCCCAGACTCACTTCATACATTGTTTTATCTCTATCAGAACTAATTTTTATTTGGAAGTATAAGTCAAGAATCAGAATGAAGATAAGCATTTGGGTTTTTTCTGCTTACACCTCAGGAGGCTGAAAGGACAAAATTCAGGAGACAATAGGTAGCATTTGTTAATGGAAAAGAACTAACTACATAAAAAAAAAAAATTAACTCCTACAGAAACATCCAAAACATCAACAACAATGAAACATTCGCCCTAACCCTAGTGAAACAACTTTGGAAAAAGCTCTCTATGCAGGTAACATCTTCTTAGTACTTTCCAAAATTACCACCCAATCATTTCATTTACATCCTTTCAATTCAAAATACTATACTGAAATATTGTAAGCTTTAAGGACATCTTTACAAATGCAAAGTAAAAAGCAACATGAGCTGTTGCCTCCTATCCAGGACACTGGTGTATTTGATTTCACACATAAACCCATACGGAATCTTACCATTGATCTTTCAGAATATCCAAACAAATGGCTCCAGTAACTGAGCTAATATTAGGATGCCATATTTTGGTGATAAACCGCACCTAGAAGACAAGACAATTTTTAAAAACAAAAATGGTTATTAAATGCAGTATATTAAGTAAGCATTTTAAATGCACCATTTCTAATAATGTTATAAATACTAATTTAGGAAATATCAAGCTAAAATACCTAACCAAGACATGTGATACCACTTACTTCAGGAGGCTTCAAGTTTTCAAGGCCATTTGTCAAACAGAGCCTTGCTTTACTCAAAACCAGACTACTGCCCATTTGAGGACACCAAACTCACCCCTAACTGCTTTCCCACACACAGTCATGTGTACACATCCCTGCATCACACAAAGCCATTTAGAAATATGCTCCAGCGGTACCAGTGTTTCAGCATAAGCAGATCGTCAAATACAGACTTAAAACTTCCCACACTGTAAATGCTAGAAAGTCCGCTTCTAATAAAGTGAAACATGTCCCTGAACTCTTAACATAGGCATTGGATCTCACTGTTCAGCTAAATTGCTGGTAGCTACAGAAGTATTATAAAAGCTTCCTTGGTGGATGCTACAACTTTACAACCATCCAGTCTCATTACCGATATCCTCAACAAACCAAAACCTAACTAGATTACAATTATTTTTCTTTGCTGTTGAAAGGATCTAGTCCCAGCATCCATTCATTAATTATGTCGACATTTTTACATTAAAGTGTACTCACACTCATAAAACATGAATAAAATCAGTTTGTTAGGTTTGGGGTTTTTTTAAGGACACTAAGAAAATGAAAAGCAGCATTTTCTTTTAAAAGAAGTCTCAAACCCCAAAGCTGTCCTCTGAAAGGAATATATACATGCCTTTAGAAATTTCTCCTTCATTTTCTTCAACCCCCTTATTTCAGGTTGCACTTTAACTGCCTTCTAGTGACTTTGACCTGCCTCCATTTCTCATCTCTACCTCCTCACCCCAAACTCCTGACAAACATTTTAGGTACAGCACAGATCTTTCAACTTCTGCCCCTGATCTGCAAATCAGTGCAGAGAACACCTTATTTGTCAGGCACTACAGCAAAAGACTGTACATACAGGGCTGTAATAAATTCAGTGCAATCACTGTGTATAAATAGGCAAGACCATAACAGTTCCGCTTTCCAGGACAGAAAATAAAGAGATCATGTCAGCTGGGCCACTTGTTAACTAGCTCAACTCTCTAAATCACTTTGAAAATGTAAAAAGCCATGTAAATACTAGGTAATTTCTCACAGTGAATGACGGCTAACAATGGCTGTCAAAGCGCATACTGAACAAGATAAAGCAATCTTTCAGATGAAAGGCAGGGCTAGACACAAGCAAAAAGGCCTCCAATTCAAGATAACAGGCTCCAGAATAAGCAGTACTATGCTAGAGTGCACTGAGCTTCTAACAGCTGTCTATAAGCTTTGGAAATGGAAACCACCAAGCCCTGAAGCAGCAATTAAACCATGGTCCATAGACCCATCTTTCAGGGTCTACGACCTGTTTCAGCTCTCCTTATTTTAGCTCCCACCAGTACACGTGCAGATGAAGAACTGAAACCAACAGACATTTCGGTAAGACTTTCTGTGTTTTTCACTCCAACCTCAAGGAAGTCACTCAAAGGACAAAAGCCAAGGAGCTGTGAGCTACTGGCACCTCTCCCTTCCTCTTCCCCAGTTCCTTCCCAGTATTACACATCAGGGTGAAAATAACCAGGATCTAGGACACGTTCTTCGTTCAAAGACATCTTTCAGACAAACAGAAAACCAATCAAGAAGCTGAGTCAGACAACTCAGGACTCTGCTGATTCATCAGAAGCCACTGCAGAAGGGACTAAATCAGTGCACAGAAATATACAGTTGCAGCTGCACATGGCTGGGGAGAACACTATTTAGATTGATCCATTCACGAGGGAAGCGGAATCGCAAATTTAAAGTGCTAGAAAGATACAGTAAAGTTGAAAGGGCAATAAGTTGTGAAAAAATGTATGAGTGACTTTACCACAGCCATTTCTCTTGTCTCTCATCCACATGCATGTTTTATGCATTCCTTCAACAGAGTTGCAGTAAGGCCATTTTATTTCTCTATTGGTTCTTCGAATCACACAATTGTACACCTCACTATTTAATTATTACTAGAAACTTGGTAGGGTAGACCCAAGACTCTATTAAATATAACTTATGGAGCCCAAGAAATTAAAAGAATCAATAATTATTACAGCATTTCTTCAATGATACTGAGTGGGAGGGAAGATAAGCTATACTCTCTACATCAAGTCAAACTATCTGAAAACTGTAGTTATCTTGCCAAAGAGAAATTACATGAGGGTCAACAATAAGGCACAAGCTCCTCCTCCAAATTTGCCAGTTTGTACCTTAAGGAATAATGAGAGTGTACTTCTGGGTGGATTCAGCTATGCATCACGCATTATTTCTACCTAAAGATGACAGCTCCAATGACTGTCTAGAAGAGAATAAAAAAATGGAAGACGTGTACTACAAAGAAACTACACAAGCAAGCAAATAAATAAGAATACTCAAAAAAACTTGCTAGCCAAATTATTTTATCCAAAAAAAGTGTTTACAGTACCTTAGGAGGATTAAACGGATATGTTTCTGGAATTTTTATCTCTAGTTGATACCTTCCACCTGCAAAAGACAAGTCAGAAACTAAAACAAAAGAACATTACTCAAGCTTAGTCTTTCATGACAATAAAGCTTACATTTCTAAATGGACAGGTTTTAAAGTAATTCAAATTTTCTCAGAAGTAGTAGCTAGAAGATACTTCTAAATTTCATATATTTTATAAATAATGCATATAAAGTCAATCTAATAAAGTAATATTTGCTTATGCAAATCAGAATCTGTCTCAGATATATTTCATGTGTACATTCTCCTATAGTTTCTTGTTTCCAACGTTGTAATTTCCATGCTGTATTTTAATAAAATACACCAAAATATGAACCAAATATCCCCCAAACAGATGAAACAACAGGCCATAGGAACATTCAGGCTGAATATGGGTTATTATATTATTTTGACTCTCTTCTGATACCTCATGCCAATAAATTTTCTTCAAATTACACAATTAAAATTAATTGTATTTAATTTTAAACTGTCTGGAACTGAAGAACGTTTGGCTAAGTCATTTAAGAAAAGCTCCCACACTCTGGCGGGAAAAAAAAATATAAAGGAGGCTCCAATGTTACTTCCACTATGTTCTACATTACTGTCTGAAGTAGTTACTTCTATTCCAATTCTGAAAACACTGTGACACACTAGTACTATTAATATAGTTTGCAGGATTACAGCATGCAATAAAAGATAGTATGAGCGTGGCAGAATGAAGCACCTTCTACTGCCCTTTTCTAAACATTTCTTGTTTTTCTCTCCCTGTTACAGTATCATTATGTATGTCTACTTTAATTGTAGTCTTGCTAACATTCAAGTTTACTATCAATACTCCTCTTCTGAAGCAATCTCAAACTATCTCTGCCTGCCCACTGAAAATCATTCACCAGGCAGTGGTTTAATGACAAAGAACAGAGCATAACAAAACATATACACCAATTTAGACATTTAGTTTTTATAGAAACTGAAAGCATTTCTCCTCGCACTTTTTTTCCTCATCCTACTGCTGTTCTTTCAGAAAGAAACCTTTTCCGTCCCTCAATGCACTTTGTTACAATTTATAAATTTCCTTAAAGTTGAAGTACCTGTAACCTATTTCCTTGGGTATTTCAAGAGTGATTTACTCTGTTGCAAATCACTCTATACAAAACCATCTCTCAAGTAGTCTCAACATAGGCAGCAAGATTCACATCCAGGGAAAAAAAAAAACCTCAAAGGAAGCGTCTGAACAGTTATCGTCTATGGCACCTTTTTACCTGTGCCAAAATGCATGTTAGCAGCTACTAACACCTCTCACTTTTAAAAATTAATTCAGTCTAACACACTACACCTGAAACTGGTTAAGAGTTTGGTATTTTATACTACTTTCTATAGCTGTTTTTTCTCACATTGTTACTACAGTAACTTGAGAAGATTTAACAGAAAATACAATAGAAGAAAGGCCAATAAATCCAAAATTATATTAGTTAATGTCTAAGTTGATCACTTGTCTGCTTACAGGACAGCACAGGAGAACTATTTTTGAAGACATATGCATCAACAACAGACCTTAAGTTCCTTTTGTCTGAATTGAAGCAAAATTCAGCAGCAATTTTTCCTAAGAAACAGAACACACTGTTCCTGAATTGCAAAAATTCATCAGTCCCTGTATGATTTTACTATCACACTGTTTTGTACGGTAACATAACACCTATCCTTAGGCATACCATTTCTTCTGCCTATCATTAAAACTTGCCTTTAACAGCCAGACTGTTACAGCCTTCTGCATAACAGGCTACTCAGCCACCAATTTTTTCCACCTGGAATGTACAAGTCCAAAAGATTTTAAAACTGCAGAGACTAATGAGCTGGTAATATTATTTATACAGTAGTGTTGTTGTGCACCAAAGTTTAATGTTAAAAATATAGGATTGAAGACTTAAACTGAACAAATCAGGATATTAATTTCCTTAATACTACATTTTAAATGCAAGTGACTAACATACTGACTTCTGTGTGCCAATATTTCCGCAGATTTTTTTAAAAAAGTAGTATGCATATGTATGGCTTTTTCGTAGCTATTTAATACTTGAGATTGAATTAAACAGTAATGGCAGAATATTCCTTCTGTACTCCAACTGAAGCATATGTCTCACAATAGTTAGAGCAAGTTTTAACTATTTTCATTGAAGAAATACCCTATTATAAATTTTGCAGTTACTGTAGCTCACATGGGAACTTGGCTTGAAATGAGTACCATGGTTATTACATGGGGTTTAAAAAAAAAAAAAAAAAAATCTATCTATTGAAAAGCTCTTGAATCAAGTAAAACCCAGCAGCCATTAATCTAGACTTTCAAAGGTCCTCTCTCTAAACGTACATGTTGTTACGTGGGATGCAAACATGTTTCAGTTGAAGTTGTGTCTTGCAATATTCTGATAATTGATCAACATGAGTTGACACTACTGACAGAAAAATAAAAGCTATAAAACTTGTCAACAATAGATGGCATTCTTCCTCTCAGTCATAAACCAATGTCCTGATATAACCTATTAAAGAATTCTGCAGCAGCACTTTGTTTTCAGATACCTCACCAACTGTGGTCAACAATAATTGTTACTGTCCTTTCACTTCACAATGGTCCTAGAATTCCCTCCTATATCACAGAATTGTCTGACCTGAACTATTGCATTAATTAGCTTTTCTTCATAAAGCACATCTTGCTGTGTCATTGTTCAGACTATAGATGACAGGAGATCAGTCAGTAATTATGCAGCATGCATTACTGTGTTAGTCATAAAATGTAAACTACACACACTGGCAAACCCTTCATAATTACATAAGGGAATAAATGCATAAAACGACATTACAGAAATATTAACGTTCCAAAGCAAATTACTCAAGCGTCAGGAAACACCAGAAACTGGGCTGATGGTAACTTTCATTTTGCTTCTTGGTGCGTATGCCTTCTCGATTAGAGTAAGCATACAATCACATCACTGTCCATGAAATCCCTGCCATAATCTGAAAAAGTAATAGTTTTAGCCCCCCAAAAGGGATATTTATTTATTCTTATCATTAAATGTACTCCTATGTATGCAAGTATGCACACATGCATTTCACATCAACAAATTCTGCACTAAACACATATTGCTGATTTTCATTAGCAGGATATGCTGAATATGTGAATCCACAGTGATCAGCTTCTGAAATTTTGGTCTAGCTGAATTATCCAGTTCTACAGACAGGCATTCAAATTTTTATTTTTTTTTACCCTCTTCATGAACTGCTATACAGTTTTTAACTTTTGTGATACATGAATACATCTTTCATTTCAAGTAACTCTCAATGCATTCTCCAAAAAAGGTCCATTTTATAAGCAGCGGTAATGCTGACCTGGAGGGGAAAAAAAAAAAATGGCAAGCCGTGACAAACAACTCGCCTGAGGAGGATTAATTCTGTTTGAATGGAAAACAAACACACACCACCACCACCACCCCAAAAACCAACACCCTCCCCCCACCACTCAGATGTTTCCTGGTATCCAGTTACTTAATTTTGCAACATCTCAACATCTGTATATGAGACCTGGTTTTACAAAACCCACTATCTTTGCACAAGCACTATTACACTAAACAGAATGATCCACTTCCAATCCAAACAGGTCAGCAGCACAACCATGTATTTTAGGTCCACAGCACAGTTGTCCTTTTAAATTGAAGGCACATGTAATAACCAGAAGAAATTATCTTCTTTCCAGACATTATCTTCCGTCAGCTTAAACACTAGTGGCTGAAGAGATGAGGATAGAGACACATGGGGGAAAGGGAGGGAGGGGGGAACCACCATTATTTGCTGGAGAGCAGAGGAACTCTGAGACTCCAGTTCTGGAGTGGAGCATCCTTACCATTACAGATGCTTCTACTTTCTAGTCTCTCCCCTCCAGGCTCATTCCCTTTCTCCTCAAGCTTCTGACGCCTCCTACCCCTGCCCAACATTCTCCAGTGTCAACCTCTGTTAGGCTGTTTCCTTGTCCTTCATCTGCCCTGGGCCCCAGCAGAAACGGGGAAGGGTGGGGGGTGGCATTAGGGAAACTCTCCCTGCTCTCAAGTGCAGGGCTGCTGCACCAGCAGCTCCCAGCCTGGAGAAGGGACGTCCTCCTTAGTGAAGATGCAACAACCAGGTTTTCATCAGTACCCACTAATGCTTCCAAATGCATGTACACCTATACCTACACAACAATTCTCAGATATTTTCCCCACTTGATGAGAATTTATTTTTCAAAATAATGGCAGAATGGCATGTGTCTGGTCTCTGGGCGATACTCAAGTCCTGCTCTTAGGTCCAAGGTATGGAGCAACTACAGCAACTGAAAACTTGCAAAACTGTTTTAATTTCCAACAAAACAACTTATTGGCCTGTAGAGTTCCTTGAGGCTTTTTTTTTTTAAACTGGAAGTTCAAATTCAAATCAAAGTAGATACCTGGCATGGAATATTTGAATAAAACATGATTTTTTTTAAAAAAGTAAAAAATAATTTTTTAAAATAAAAATCTTCGTTTATCATCAAGGAAATTTAATAGAAGGTGTGTCTGCCAGCTCAATATATGTATACATTGTACACAAACAGAAAGTTTACAAGTACCATCACTATTGACTAATTTGGTATCTCTGATGAAGTATGCTATATTAGCTTCTGTTCAAGCTTCTATCTGCAATAAGTTATCTTGCTTTTTCCAGACTGAAGAGATGCACTGATTACTGATACCAGCTTTAATAAAGAAAGTAAGGTGTAATTTTTGAAGAGAGCTATAGGCATGAAGTTATACTATAGAGTCCCTCACTCCAGTATAAATTATGTATTGGGACCCATGGATGCCTGAGATTAATCCCAAATTTAACTTGCAGTTGGCATCTCTCCTTGAGATAGAAAAATGCAACATGTTTTTGAATGACCACCACATTAGATCACAGAAATACACATATAGTTACATTAGAGTCTGAAGCTCAGTTTCTTGATGCTTCATGGCTAAGGAGCTTAAACTGTCAAGACGGTAAACAAACAACTAAGTCAGAATTATACCAATTACACTGCACAGCTTATACCTGCAACTTAACCTTTGATATGGGATAGCCTATCCTACTGTGAAACAGATGTGTCTTCAGGCAACACAGAAGTTGAACTGAAGTATTTTTCAAGCTTAAAATTTCTATTTTAAAAAAAAAAAAAAGACTATTTTAAAACATGTAGCTCTACATTTTTATGCTGTAAACTAATTTTACAAACAAAGCATCTCAAGACACATGATTTGAAGTATACAATGATTGCATACACAAAAACATTACTTGCCTTCATACGGTGTATCCGGAGGTCCTGCTATTTCTCCTCTTAATTCTGTAAAATTCTCATCTACAAGATCTACTTTAATTTGATTTTTGCTCGTCTTAAAAATAAACAGAGAAACAAAGAATCATAAGTAAGCATTTGACATACAGATTTTCCCCCAAATATGGTATTTTAAATTTTTAGCAGTTTTAAAAAAAATATATAAGTAAAAAGTTAAAAATATAGTAACCTAAAGCGAATAGCTATCTTCCAGTTGGAATTTTACTTCATTAAAAATAGACTATTCGTGAAAAATTAGAAATTTCAGTATTATTTATACTACCACTAAAATAAGCAATACAACCCAGCAATATAATATCTAAGGTTGTTTTTTTAAGTTGATTACATTTTAAAAAGACCATGATCTTTCTAATCAGCTATTACTTCTACATAATATCTTAAACTACAAAATTAAATTGACCAAGTTACACATTGTTTTTTTTCTTGTTTAGAGCAGTTTAATTAATAGAAATGATTGTCACTTTCACTGGAATACAGAAAGACTTCCCCAAATAGAAGGCTCACTCATGTAAAATATTTTTAAACAATACGATGATTGAAACAGAATACTGTAGTCTTGTTTAAGATCATGTTTATCTTTAATATTTAGGTGTAAGGTACAATTTATTTATACACTCGAATTTCATTGTCACCTCCTCAACATTTTCACACCCCATATCAACTTGCCTACAAGATAAAAACACTGTATTTTGATACTGAAAAAAACATATGTTTCCCAGAAACTGATTCTCAGAAGTGTTTAGCCAGAGCTACTCATTCCATTGAATTTGCTTTCCAAGTCCAGAGAGCAGTTAGTGAAATTCATACAAATCTTCCAGCCAGTAACTTTTTGGGAGGATGCAAAGCATAATCACCTTTCAGAAAGATATACCATGAGGTATATCTTAGAGGTAAGTAATTACAGGTTTGCCCACTTCACTACCTTCGTATACCATGTTCACTGACTGCAATACAGATTTCCCGAATCCTATCTTTTTTTTTCCAAGAACTCATATCATCTTCCCAGATCCTTTAAAATTGTTCCAACTAGTTCTACACCAAAAAGCCCTGTGCAGCTGCGCTTCTCTTCTTCCTCGGAGTAAATGTGGCTGCCGCCAGCTATGAGAAAAGAGTTAAGTTGGATAAAGCTGATGGTTGCCATCAACTGGTTCTTGGATCAACCAATGATATAAACCGTTAAGGACGCAAAATTTACTGAATCCTGTAAATGTGCTACAGATTCAGTCCCCCCAAACCAAAGAGGGTGCTCTTCTGACCAACGATGCTCACAGGTATAAAGAAAAATCAACATTTAAGTAAAAGTTTCACCACATAAAAAGACCCTAATTAAAAGTTTCACTAAATTAATCCAATAGTGATTTGGGAGCTTTTTACATCTACAGTTATACACATTTGTCTTTAAAAAACTTGGGTAAAATCCCTTGAGCCCACACAAATGAGACAGCACCTGCAACTGCATAGTTGAGGCCAGGTACTGCACTTCAAAAATTCAACCACACTACAAATTAAGAACTCACCATGAACCTCCAAAATCGAAAGCCTGTTAAATGCTAAATGTAATGGTTCTGGTTTACTTCTTTCTATCTATAAACTACCTTTTTGTTTTAAGCTCAACATCAGGTCTTGTGCTGCCTTTCGTGACCTTTGCTAAGACACCAGAGAAAGGAAGTTATTAATAGAACTGATGAAATTATGTTTTTAAACATATTTTAGAATTATTTTCTTTCCTGCTACAGTTCATATCAGCTGCCTGACCAGAGAGCAACCACAATAGTTTTCCTTCAAAGCTTTGTTTCCATAATACTGAGCAGCAGAAGGACAGAGTATCCCAGTGAGACAGCCCTCCCCAACAGCCAGGTGCTGTAAGAAACTCCCTCTCTGAATCCAAACTCAATCATATGCAACACATTCCTCTTTGCAAGCTTTCCAACCCCCCTTTTTTTTGCTCTCACTATTCCACCTGGCAGCTCATTCCACAACCTCAAAATTGTTAAAAGCTTTCTAAATCACAATTTAGGTAAAATTATAATCTACTTACGCCCACCTGTGACAGCACTGTTTCCCAGCTTCAACAAGGTTCTTTGTACCTCTAGTATTTATTCCCCTCAAAAATACACGGTATTTGTATCAATTTCCCTTTTTAGCCTTAATTCTGCTCTAAACAAGCTGGAATTTTAGTCTCGCCATACTGACTTTTTTTTTTTAAATTTCGCCACTCTACGTCCCATGATCACCTCACTAGCCCTACATAAATGAATTTAGATGAATTCTCAGAATCAGTGCCACGAGCGCTCTGTTGCACTCACTGAAAATACATCACAACCAGCATAACCCAAGATGAAATTTGTCTTCTTCTGTGGCAGCATGACACAAGGCTCAGATCAAGTGACAGAGTCCCAAGCAAGGCTTCCTATGGACGTTTTTGTCCTCTTCGGTGACTGCCCCTGTGCATTACCTCTTAGTTTACAAAGCAGCACATTGATTTAAATAACCAATACAGTTAATGAGTCACCAAAACTACCTGCTTGGGTAATGCAGTCATTCTAAGGTCTATTCAGGTTCTCCTGCTCTCCTCCATCAACTCGTAAGCTGTCAACTTCACCTGGTCAGCTGCAAGTTGTTCTTTGCAAGTAAACCCATAACTTTCCATCTCGAGGACTGAAGCAATAGCAAACGGGATGAATTTCAATGACACAATCTATGGTTAACCCATGCTGCAGCTTGCTTGATTTTCTACTTAGCATTTTACTTCCATGCCCTGCACGCTGTTGTAGCAGACTGGATATTCACCTTCATATTCAGTTTCAATTAGTACCACACTAGCTGTTTTCTCCACAACAAATCCTGCCTGACTCCACACATTTGGTAAAAAACAACCAAACAAAAACCCTATTGCTAAGTTCAGTTTCTTTCAGGAGTCAGCAATCCTGGTTCCCCCATTTGAGATGACAGCTTTTATTACTATAGCTGTAGCTATCACCATACCCTTATTTCCTTCATACAGAAACTTGAGAAAAAATGGCAGGCTGTATTACAGTGTTTCAGTCTAAGGATTAATTTAATTTTGGGTTCGTGCTTAAGTTCTACCATGCCCTCCATATAACAAATGCATTTTTTTATTTAAACAGCCAAAGAACCCTTTTCAGGCTATTCTGATAGACTTTTCAAGGTGCAACTCAGCTTGACCTTGCCAATTCTTGCTTTTTCTTTCATCCCTGGAGCAATAACTAATATTAAACTGTAGTGAAGTGATTATTCATCCAATTAAATCTGGAGTGTTTTCCTACAGTATTTCCCCTTAATGAGGATCACACAGGATAAAATTACTTAATTTTAGCAGCTCTAACAGAATAAATCTCTGGCGTCCACCATAATCATCCAAGCTGTCTCTAAAATGTTACCAACAGCAGAGTTCTCCAAAAGTGTGCCTCTGACACCAGTGATCTTAGCACAGAATTTATGAATCAGCTTGTGATCTCACAACACAAGTTAATTTTCCAGAAGCAGTTCTTCTACAAAGACCTCATTACGCTTCCATACCAAGCCTAAAATAGCATCACCTCCTGTTGATTCAGTAACAATTTGGTGACTAAATCACCGGGCTAGCAATTCCTGAAATATGAGGCATGCCATCCCTAGCAGCATTTATTTCCATGGTCTCAAAGTTGTTAAATTCTGTAACAACACCATTCCCACTAGTATTTCTCACCAATGTGAAAACACTCCACTGACATCCAATCCTCTTCTAGGAATCTACAAGTCCCACACTACACCAGGAGAACTTCCCATCATCACACCTGATAATTACCTTGATCAAGACTGACCAAAAAAAAAAAAAAGGAAAGGAGTGTTAATGCAACTTATTACACAATGCATGATGCCATTCCCTCATGGCTTTTTCTTCATATTCTAGTCAGATCATACACAGCCTTTATTTCTTTTAAAATTGATTCCCTGCTTCACACTAGGGCTCGAGTCAAAAGATACATTGTCTTTTAGACCATCCCAACTGCTGAGACTCTTTATGCAGTGCCACAGTCATGCTTACCGTATTTTATTCTCCCTTGTGGAGATTAAGCCCAAGCATAGAGATTAAACTAAAAGCATGAGGCAGAAAAGTTGGGGAAGATTCATATACGTCACTTTCATCCATTACAAAAGCCTTATCTCTAAAAAGAAACCCAAAAGAATCAATCCCTCATGAAGGGTCATTTCTGTGAGCATCTCCCAAAGACTGGATGCTCAGTCACAGTTATCACCATAGCTATTGATCAATAATATTTTGACTTGTCTTTGCCTGCCTCTTCTTTAAAAAAAAACAAACAAACAAAAAAAAAAAAAACCACCACCAAAAAATCCCAAACCAAAGCCAGAATCACACTGTAGTTTTATATCTGAGTATCTTCCTTGTATAGAACACACAATCCACTCCAGCAGAAACTTTCAAGAGTAAGTTCTGCCACTGTGAAGACTTTATCACACATCATCTCCACTTCTACTAAAATACTCTGGACCTTGTAATATTACTCTCAGCAGACAACAAGCTCTCCTGTTCTTTTTATTCACCATAGTCCACAGGACACCCTTTCTCCTGAGCCTTCCATGCCATCTCCTTCTCTGTTCTCCAATCCGCCTCTAAAAAAAACTCTTATTTATGTGTTCCTCATGGCCTATTATCTTCTTTCCTAGTCCACCACCACTCTTAAAAATCAAAGTTTTCTTTCACAGAAGATAAAAAGCAAAAAGAGAGCCAAGACAAAACTGTAACATAACAGCATCCAGGAGCATCAAGACAAGATTATAAAAACTGCACTGTCCTAAAAATCTCTTTCCCACATACAAAATGCTATTTACTACATTTACCACAAAAAAAAGAAGTTATATATTCAAAGTTTGATCTTGAGGCAAGACTGAAGGTAGATGAAATTACTTTTTTTTTTTTTAGAAGTAGGAATTTCAAGTGAATCAGAATTTTTTTATACTTTTAAAAAAGCCTCAAAATTCTACAGTTATTTTGATAAGTAGGCTACCAGGAAAAAAGTTAACCTCAAGTAATCAATACAAATGCCTATTATCACAGCTGGCACTGTATGGATAGATACTGGTAGGTTTAACAAAAAATGCAGATGTTTTAAAATATTTCAGGTTTTTTTAATTACATGGCCAGCAGTTTTTGACATCTGTGTTGAAGCATTTTGAGTGGAAGGAAAAAAAACCAAACCACACAAACCCCCAAACATCCCTCACTTCCATGTCAGCCATGTCTACAAAACACATTATAAACTTAATACCAGACGATGATGGCATACAAAAAAGAAATTGTGAGTGAGGTTATTCTAGAATCAACCAGCTCTTACTTCCCCCATGACATTATCTTAACATTAGACCTTTGATCCCTGCATAATGAAATTACTCTAAAGAAATGTAACAAGCCAAAGTCTCCACTATGCATCTACTAGCATACATACTATGTTTTAAACTGTTGTGGTCAGAACAAAAAGGAAAAGAAATTATGTTTATTAGCAGTATTAATACTTCAATTCAGCACGTTACTTTCTTAAAAAGAATGAAGTAGCATCAAAATGAATTATTACTTGTACATTCTAAGTGTATCTGTCTCACCTTACATATTCAGATACCATGGGCAAATTCGTATCAAATATCTTTGGGTATAAACACTGAGATGGTAAACGAGGATTTACAAAAACAAAAACCAAGACACACACACAAACACACACCCTACTTCAAACAGAATTAATTTGGAATTTAAAACCCAATACTTTCTTCTGAATAACTTTGTGTGTAAAAAAACTCCACAAAATCCCACTGTTTCATACAGCAATTCACTATCTGCGGTCTATGATTCTATAGATCCTGTAACATGATTTTCCTCCATCTTAAGGGGAACATACTCTATACCAGATGAAGTACTACTATTTTCTGTTAATTTACTTCGTTTTTACAGAAAATAAATAGAAAACTCGAGACACATGTATATATAAAAAAAACCAAAACCAACAGAAAAACCCTAACCTGAAAAGACACACGTATAAATGATAAATTACGTGTATAGATAAACAAGTCTAGTTGCAATAACAGCAGTTAGGTATTAAAACTCTGTATCCATTTAGTGCTTTAAGACTAGCAACCTACACATTAAGTAAAAGTTTTAAGTGACAAAAATGTTAAAGAATATACGTGCCAAGATTTCAGCAAAAATTAGGGAATAAATTTAAACAAATTCTCCAGAATTTTCTCATAGGACAAATCCACTAGCTTGTGAGGGAGGGCATGTATTTTTAAAAAAAAATGTTTTCTATCACTAATTATTTCCCAATTGCATCAACAAAAAATTACTTTTTTCATTTATCTTTCAGACAGAATTTTTAAATTATTGTTTGATTCCTCAGTGAGGTAAATTGGCAATAAACAGTTTTTAACCTACCTGAAATCTAACCAAAATTTAGTTACTACTTTAATACAGCTACAATTTACAAATGTAAAGTAGGTACTTTTGAACATCCAAGCATTTTATACTCACACTATAAGGATCAATATTTAATAAGCCAAATTAAGTAAGTAATACTTCACACCCTAGTCTGAAGCCACTTTAGCAAAATTAATCTATAGTTCTATAAAGTTGCTACTGCCTCATAAAACTCTTCTTACCCCCCGCTTTTTATATTCTACCACAACAGTCCTACTCTACATCAAACTCCGGCATGAATATATCTCAAGAGAGTTATAGAAAAAGATAATCTGATTGACTATCGTAATGAAATCCATACAATGCTATTTTTGCAAAAGGCCACAAGTACTCCAAGTCAACGTAAGAGTTCAATAGAAAACTCAAACCTTTCAGTAGCAGTTTACTCCATCAAACAATTATTTAAATTAACAACTTAAAAAACAAACCCAAGTTCATTCTTATCCTTTTTACCAACCCCTTGCAAATCTGTGGATAAATATTCAAAGTAATTTTGTTTTGCTATAATTGCCACATTATTTTCTTACACATTAGCACTCTTAACTTAGTCCAAACTATTCAGGTCTCTCCGCTTCACTGGTATATGCCAGAAAGGAAGGATCCTAACAAAAGCTCACCTGTCTAAGGCTGCTGTCTAAGAAGTAAACTACCAGCCTCTCTTATTTCCCTGTCCTTACTTCTTTTCAAACCAACACTCCACCTTCTTAACCCTTCGCCACCCCAGAGTAACTCAGGATAAGTACATTGCATCTGCTTAGCTCACTCGTTTGCAAGAAATGGGATAACAGCAAAAAAGGCAAGATATGTCATCTACTAGGAAGTAAAGTGCAGGACACTGTCCTGCAGCAAAATGGCAAATTCAACTTCAAAAATATTGAGGTCTGTAAAAGTGTTGATTCCCCCCCGCCTCCCTGGTCACAAAGAGCTAGCAAAGCAAGAGGCTTTGGTTCAACACTTTGGAAGTATTCCTTCAGACTCAGACCAGCTTAAAAGCCGGAATCTAGTGCATCTCCAGAGCCTGAGCTTGTTATTACTAAGAAGAGAAGCAGAAACATCATATAATTACCACAGTCCCAGCTATGAAGTATATGTGCTGCACTATCAGCTGAGATCAGCAGATCACATTTGCACGCTCAGAGAGCTCCTGCTGACCTTCAAAGCACAGAGCAACGCTCAGCTGCAAAACAATCAAATGTTTGGGGCAGGGCAAGGAGAAGAGAGGAAACAAGTTTGTCTAAAACACATGAAAGAGCAGTTTTCCTAGATAAGAAAATGTCAATACAAAGAAATGCATTTCCTTAAAACACTCCCATGTTCTTTGACCCTACTATCAATTTCAGTCTTGAAGTTCTTCCACATTTCACATTCTGTGCAATCTCACCGTATTCAGATGTATTTTCTAGAGTTTCAGTATGCCTGTTTCAGTAAAAATATGTGAGATTATTTTTGCATACTATTTTTTTTCCATTTACTGACCAATATACTATGTTACTCATACACAACTTGTATTTTAATATACCTAAGGAACTAGAAATATGAAGACAGTGTGAATTCTGTAATACTGGTAATTTACTAGAATTTTCATATTTATCACAGTTTTACTTATTAAATGCATCTCAATAGGATTCTTTAATAAAATGTCTTAACAAGAGACTAAATCTGTGCTAACCTTAAAATTCTGTATTACTACACACGTTTACATACAAGAACAATACTGAGAGGCATTTTCCCCCCCATCAGAACACAAAACATCTCAAATGTTAAAAATTACTTCATTTTGCAAGAGTTGGACCTGGCGCATCACCAGTGTTAAGTTTGAGTTAACATACAAAGCCCTTTGATGCAGATTCTGCAGTCAATTCTGTACGTCTACCCTACTTAGGTTGCTAGTAATTCTACATATAGACGAACTGCAGGATTCAGCTAATTTTAAATCAATTATGCTAATTCACTCGCAGTCCCAGAGCTTGAAGACTTACGGAAATAGCTCAGAACAGTTTTTCTATACTAGCTTCCCACATGGACACCCTTATTCTGAAGTGGAAGGGCTTAAGTAAACACTATGATGGCTCTAAGAGTTTCCAGAAAGGGAGCAAATACAAACACAGCTACCATGATTTCCATTTGTATATGCTATCTTACTTCACAATAGCCTCTTGTACTTAAATACATCCTAACACAGCAAAAATTTAAAGACTTTCTCACAGTTCAATTTCAGCTAAAAATAAAAAGCAATATGTATTTGGCTTGAACTAAACTACCTATTTAGGTAAAACATGGACTAATGCATTAAGTAATAATAATGGTTTGGGGTGGACTTTCCCCCCGCCCCTTCATAAAGCCCTGTACAAATGTGGTTTAGAATCTGAAGGCATGTCACCTTAAACTTTTGTTTTCTAAAGTAACTAGACTTATGCAATCATTAGTCTTTCCCTTCCCACTGAACTGTTGGTCTTACTGGCTAATAACAAATAGAAATGACGAAATAATGAGCACAAATTAGTTTCCTACATGTCCTGTGACGACAGACAAAGGTAGACAGGACAGCCCCTATTAGCATTCCAACAGAAGAATGACACACAGTATGAGCTCAGCTCTCTTAGACATAAGCATGGCCAAATTGGAGTTATACCATACGACCAACTGAGTTTTATGGTATTCAATAAAGCATAAGTGCTGAATGAAGCTTCTTCTGTAGCCAGGGATATTCACAACATTGCTCTCCTGTACAAACACTTCGAAGACTAGAAAAGAGCAATCCACGGCCTTAGTAAAATTCTGTTAGAACATACTAGAAGAACAGACACAGATCTGGTCCTTAAACAAGGTTATTTCTGCTGCTCACACAGGTGTTTTATTTATTATGCAGATACTATTTTATTAAATACTCATGGCAAGCACATTCAAGTGCTCCCAATTCAAATATTACAAGTATTAACACTGATATAATCTGAAGGGAATATGCTAGATCAGTCAGGAGTGCAAAAGCAGACTACATCCCTAGAATGCTTTATAGAATACTATTTCTCAAAATTCACACTCTTTGCCACAAAAGAACTAAATTACTTATTTTCCTTATCTAAATTGCAGCAAAGTTTTACCTAGTTTGTCAGAGACAAAAAGATAGTCTGCATATTAATGATGTTTAACCAAAAGCATTTTCTCAATTTAATACCAGCAGCAATTATTAACGTAAAAGAGATAAAGTAATGACAACAATCCTTACTAGGATTATGAAACAATCTAGAAACTGTTTAACAGGCGAGTAACTTAAGAACTACACTAAGCACTTGCACTAGTTTAACAAGTTTAATGCAGCTGAAAGACCATTAGACAACTCAGGATTGGACTGTTAACCAGCATGTTCTTGCAGTTTATAGTTACACAAATTTACTATGATAAAACTTTATTTAAATTTCATACTGAGTAAAGTGAACTAACCTTAGGACTCGTACACTTCTGTCCTATTAAAGCCAAACTCCTAGAAACAAGCACAGAAGAATGAATGGGAAACTGGGAAGGTTAAAGGATTGGGTAATTCCTACTATCCCTGAGGTCCATAGAGTTGTGATCAGAGGGTACCATCTGGTAGCTGCAGCCTAACCCCTAATCCTAAACTGACTAACCCAGTCCTGTAACCAGTGACTGCTCTCTTTCCTCAGGTTTTTAAGGTATTACCAAAGACAACCAAATGAACCTGACTCCAACAGAGACCAAGTCTTTTTTCTGTCTTCCACTTACTCCCAAAATCTTTAGGATTCTACCAACTGATATGTAGACCACTCACTAGAAATCTGGACTCAACTGGATATATGTTAACATGAAAAAATGCCATCAACTGAACACAGGAATGAGGAATAAATTTTGCCTTCCTTGCACAAATATTCCCACTACCAATACCTGGCCAACTCATAGGTCTGGTCAAATCATCACTAACATTATATGTTAAGTATTTTGAATCACAGACTTATCTAATATTCATAATACTCATGCTTATTAGCATCTATGTAATACTTATCTTAAAAGTGCAATGGTATTATATTCATAGAACTTGAAAAACAGCTACATGGTTCAGCTAAACAGGCGTAAAACCATAAGTAAACTAGTAATTCAGAAAGATCACCTTAGCAGTGAGAATAAGAAACAGGTTTCTTGAGACTTCCTAGTAAATACATTATGTTTTGAGCCACCTATTCTTTAGTTATGTCATGCTTTAACCCGGCAGGCAGCTAAACACCATACAGCTGCTCACTCATTCCCCTTGCCCAGGGGAATGGGGGAGAAAATCAGAAAAAAGGTAAAACTCACATATTGAGATAAAGACAATTTAATAGGACAAAAAAGAAAGGAAAGATAATCATCATCGTAAAAGAATACACAAAACAGGTGATGCACAATGCAATTGCTCACCACCCAATGACTGATGCCCAGCCAGTTCCCAAGCAGTGACCGCACCCTCCCTGGCCAACCCTCCCAGGTTTTTTGTTCAGCATGACATCATATGGTATGGAATACCCCTTTGGCCAGCTGGGGTCAGCTGTCCTGGCTGTGTACTCTCCCAGCTTCCTGTGCACCTCCAGCTTCCTCACTGACAGGGCAGTATAAGAAGCTGAAAAGTCCCTGACTTAGTGTAAAAACAGCTCAGCAATAACGAAAACATCCCTGTGTTATCAACATTATTCTCATCCTGAATCCAAAACACAGAACTATGCCATCTACCAGGAAGAAAATTAACTCTATCCCAGCCAAAGCCAGGACAATATCCACCCCTTATTCTATAACATCTACGTCATGCCCAGGTCCCACACTTTCTAATACCTCCCCACTAATCACCACCACACTTCCTGTCTTTCGATATATACATGCAAGTATCATTCCCTAAGTCTATGGGCCATCCCTCTAACATGTTCATTGAGTTCATTTAGTCCATGACTTTGGGCTCCATCTGTTGTAACAGTCCTTCAGGACAGGGGGAATGGTGTGTGGTGTTGGATTGTTGCATGCTGTAGCCAGTTCTGGTTCCATCACTGCTGCACCTTGCTCTGTTTCATCAAAGTTCATTCTTCGTTCATCTGGGTGATTCTTACTGTGATACCATTGATATGGCATATAGCAACCATAGTAGCGATGATGTACAGTATTACATAGCAATTAACATAACATAATTCAAATCATTAGCTATTCTCACCCAAAATCAAATCCCCTTGAGGTATGCATCGGAATTCCCCATCCTCACGTGTTACCCACCAAGTGCAGCCAGGTCCTTAAGCAAAAGCAATCCCATGGATGGGTTTGCCTTTGCCCAAGGCAGAAATAACCCAGACTGTCTTCCCAACATATTTTTTTTTATGTGCGCTACAGGGACTTTACCCCCTTCTACAATATGTAAGAGTTTTGATTGGGCAGGGCCAGCCCAATTTGCCTAACCAGGTGGCCTTTGCTAAATGTGTATCCCAATGTTTGAATGTTCCACCACCCACTACTCTCAGTGTAGTTTTTAACAGTCCATTGTACTGGCTGATTTTCCCAGAGGCAGATGCATGATATATCCATTCAATGTGATATGTGACATACCCACTTGAGGCAATGCTCTTTGGCCCAGGCGTCTATAAGGTTGTTTTGGAAATGAGTCCCATTGCCTGACTCAATTCTTTCTGGGGTGTCATGTTGCCATAAGACTTATTTTTCAGTGCTCAGGATCACGTTCCAGGTGGTGGCATGGGGTTGTTTCCAGCCATCTTGTGGTTGCTTCCACCATGGTGAGCACATAGCGCTTGACTTGGCAGGTTTGTGGGAATGCGATATAATCAATCTGCCAGGCTTCCCCATATTTATATTTCAGCCATCGTCCTCCATACCAGAAAGGCTTTAACTGCTTGGCTTGTTTGCAGCACGTTTCACATCATGGATAACCTGCACAATAATGTCCATAGTCAAGCCCACCCCTCGATCACAAGCCCATCTATACGTTGCATCTCGTCCTTGATGGCCTGAGATGTCGTGAGCCCACCGAGCTAGAAATAGTTCACCCTTATGTTGCCAGGCCAGATTCACCTGAGCCACTTCAATCTTAGCAGCCTGATCCACCTGGTGGTTTTGATGTTCTTCAGTGGCTCAACTTTTGGGTACGTGAGCATCTACGTGACGTACTTTTACAACTAGGTTCTCTACCTGGGTAGAAATACCTTGCCACAATGTGGCAGCCCAGATGGGTTTGTTGCTCTGTTTCCATTGCTGCAACCACCCCCATAAGGCATTTGCCACTATCAATGAGTCAGGATACAGATAGAGCACTAGCCATTTTTCTTGCTCAGCAATATCTAAAGCCAGCTGGATGGCCTTCAATTCTAAAGAATTTGGCTCAATTCACCTTCTCCTTCAGCAGCAACTGATCATATAGGACTCCATATTGCAGCCTTCCACCACCGATGCTTTCCCAAAAGATGCCAGGACCCATCAGTGAACAGGGCATATTGCTTCTCATTTTCTAGTACTTTATTATACAGTGTGGCCTCTTCAGCACACAACACCTCCTCCCCAGGTGATATTCAAAAATCTTTGCCTTCTGGCCTGTCCACAATCACTTCCATGGTTCCTGGGCGACTGGGGCTCCCTATTCAAGCCCGTTGTGTAATCAGTGTGACCCACTTACTCCACGTAGCATCAGTTGCATGATGTGTAGAGGGGACCCTCTCTTTGAACATCCAGCCCAGCACCAGCAGTTGGGGTGCCAGGAGGAGCTGTGCTTCAGTACCAACCACTTCTGAAGCAGCTCAAACCACTTCATAGGCTGTCAATATCTCTTTTTAAGTTGGAATGCAGCAGGCCTCAGGTCCTCTGTATCCCTGACCCCGAAACCCCAGGGGTCAGCCCCTAGTCTCCCCTGGTGCTTTCTGTCAGAGGCTCCAGGTAGGGCCACTGTCCCGGGCTGCGGTGTAGAGTATATTTTTTACATCTTGCCCTGCCTAGACTGGCCCAAGGGCTACTGCATGAACCATCTCCCGTTTAATTTGTTTAAAAGCTCAGGGCCCCAACTGAAATAGGTTTTCTTCCGCATCACTCGATAGAAAGGGCTTACGATCAGACTGTAATTTGGAATATCCATTCCCCAAAACCACACAATGCCTAATAAAGCTTGTGTTTCCTTTTTGCTAGTTGGTGGGGACATAGCTGTTATTCTGGTGATCACATCCATTGGGATCTGACAATGTCCAGCTTGCCATTTTATTCCTAAAAACTGGATTTCCTGTACAGATCCCTGAACTTACTTCGTTTTATGGCAAAATGGGCTTTCAGAAGCATTTGGACTGTTTTCTTCCCTTTCCCAAAAAACCTCTTCTGCTGTGTTGCCCCACATGATGATGTCAATGTATTGCAGGTGTTCTGGAGCCTCACCCTGTTCCAGTGCTGTCTGGATCAGTCCATGGCATGGTAGGGTTGTTAGGGCAGTCAGTCCCAGGTGTACTGGATGCCCCTCCAAGTGAAAGCAAACTGTGGCCTGCACTCTGCTGCCAATGGGATTGAGAAGAACACATTAGCGATATCAATTGTGGCATACCACTTGGCTGCCCTTGACTCCAGTTCGTATTGAAGTTCTAGCATGTCTGGCACAGCAGCACTCAGCAGCAGCGTGACTTTGTTCAGGCCACAATAGTCTATGTTAGTCTCCACTGTCCATTAGACTTTTGCATGGGCCATATAGGACTGTTAAAGGGTGAGTGAGTCTTGCTGATCACTCAACTCTCCAGCTGATGAATCAGCTTATGGATGGGAATCAGGCAGTCTCGGTTGGTGCGATATTGCCACCAGTGCACCACTGCAGTAGCAATTGGCACGCGTTGTTCTTTGACCCTCAGCAATCCCACAACAGAGGGGTCCTCCAAGAGACTGGGCAAAGTAGACAGCTGCTTTATTTCCTTCATCTCCAAGGCAGCTGTACTAAAAGTCCACTGGTACCCTTTCGGGTCCTTGAAATACCTTCTCCTGAGGTAGTCTATGCCAAGGATGCACAGAGCCTCTGGGCCAGTCACAATGGGGTGCTTTTACCACTCATTCCCAATTAGGCTCACTTCAGCCTCCAATACAGTTAGCGGTTATGATCCCCATCACTCCAGAAATACAGATGGGTTCTGCCTCTGTATAGCTTGATGGCATATGGGTACACTGTGCACCAGTGTCCACTAGAGCCTTATACTTCTGTGGGTCTGACGTGCCAGGCCATCGAATCCACACAGTCCAGCAAACCCGTTTGTTCCTTTCCTCCACCTGGCTGGAGGCAGGGCTCCTCTAGTCCTGGTCACAGTATTTGTTACTCACTTCTTGTAAATGCAAATCAGAAGTCCCTTCCTTAAGGCTGGAATTAGGATAATCTCTTCTACTCTGTCTGGGGAACTGCCCACTGGAAACTGGAGCAGTGATTTTACTGGAAGAATCCCCTTTGTGATTGCTTTTCCTTGTAACTCACGTTCCCATGCCTCTAGAGTCAAGGCAGGTTTTCCATCCCACTTCTTCATGTCCTCTCCATGGTCACGCAGGTAAAACCACAGGTGGCCCACGGTGTGTACCCACTATATCCTCTCTCTTGAGCAGAGGAACACTTACTCCTAATGGCTGAGATACAAGTCCACACAGGTGGGGAGTAGGACTTATCCTCTTCGAGTTGCTGGACCTCCCGGGACAGTTTCTCCACAGCCAAGACACAGGCCCATAGGCAGGAAGAGATACTTTCTTCGTATTGTCAGAGTTGGCCAGCCAACTTGTTTACCATTTGTCCTTCTCCGTCTTTCCAGGTCCTTACTGTCAAGGAGTTGGCATATGACAATGGTGCGCTCCGTACAAACTTCCACCACATGGGTCATGTGCACTGGGCTTCATCTGGATCTTCGGATAACTGCTTGTTGTCCGGGTCATCATAAATCACCTCCAACATGGCTAATTCACTCAGGTACTGGATACCTCTCTCCGTGGTGGTCCACCTGCCTGGGTGACATATAACATCCTCCTTGAAGGGATACCTTTCCTTCACACCTGACAGGATTTGCCTCCAGAGGCTGAGGGCTCGTGCCCCTTTTCCAATTGCTTTGTCAACGTCCCCTTCCCTAGAAAGGGATTTTAGCTGCTTGGCTTCCCTACCTTCTAATTCCAGGCTACTGGCCATGTTATCCCAGCATCAGAGCACCCCAGTGACAATGTGCTCACCTGGACAATGGCTGAAATATTTTTGCATTACCTCGCAGCTCACTCAGGGATAGAGATCAGGTGGCTACTGCCTCGTTCATGAGTTCTGCCTCCTCCTCCTCTTCTCATGATGGCCCTGCTTCAGAGTAACCTGCCTCATCCACTCCTTCCTCCTTCCCCTTCTCAGGAGTTTCTTCCCGCACTAAACAAGCTGACTTCCGCATCCAGTATTTCATCTTGTATATAGGGGTGACTTGATACCATGCATGGGTTGGTTCTCTGGTTCAGCTGTAGTGCTCGCTGCCAGAGTTGGAGCAGCCACAGCGCCCGTTGTTTTGTCATTAGATCCAGAGACCTTCTCTCCCCCTTGAAGGTACCGAATAGTGTTGAACAGGGCTCAGTAGGAATGGGCCAGACCACAGCACATTGCAGGGATTTGTGTCTCTGGAACTACCAGGGTGACAGCATACCTTTTCCAATTATTCTACTAGTTTTTCAGGATTCTGCACTTGTTCAGGGATGAAGTTCCAAAACACTGGAGGTGCCCACTGTCCTCAGTACTTGCCCATAATATCTCACACACCCTGCCACTCATAACTATCCAGCCTTGGCACAGATCTCTGGGTGGTATTCTTAAATAGTTGTTTAACCTTAAACAAGACCTGAAACATGTTCAGGAGACATAGCAATAGGAACATGCTGCTTTGAACATCCCAAGGACATTCAAAATTCCCAAAAGCTATTATAACTAGCCTGGAGGGGAAGGTGAAGGAGCGGGGGAAAGTGTCCTCCTTCACCTCTCCCATAAATTGGCCCTCCACTTAGAAAAGATAGAGTGTAATTATTGACAGTTTCTGAGAGATGGTTCCTGAAGTACGGAGATGACAGCAATGCTGAGTACAAATACCACCTTAGTCTCACGACCAGTAAATTTATCATATCATAAGCCAGTGTTACCCAGTACAGCAAAACAATAACCTTAATCCAGCCCCCAGTGATGATAAACAGCACAACAGGTAACGTATACAGCAAGTGGGGTGCTACATAATACAACTCTGAGAGCAAGTAAATCAGCATTGCGACCAGCAACTATTAAGCTAAAAAGGAATGCTTATAACAAATTTATTTTGACATGCTCTGGTCAGATCTGTTGTTATCTCAACCCTCTGAGCCCCACATTGGGTGTCAAAAGAACTGCTATGGTTTAACTGGCAGGCAGATAAACACTACACAGCTGCTCACTCACTCACTCCCCCTGCCCAGACAGATAGGGCGGGGGGGGGGAGGTAAAACTCACATATTGAGATAAAGACAATTTAATAGGACAAAAAAGAAAGGAAAGATAATCATCATCGTAAAAGAATACACAAAACAGGTGATGCACAATGCAATTGCTCACCACCCAATGACTGATGCCCAGCCAGTTCCCAAGCAGTGACCGCACCCTCCCTGGCCAACCCTCCCAGGTTTTTTGTTCAGCATGACATCATATGGTATGGAATACCCCTTTGGCCAGCTGGGGTCAGCTGTCCTGGCTGTGTACTCTCCCAGCTTCCTGTGCACCTCCAGCTTCCTCACTGACAGGGCAGTATAAGAAGCTGAAAAGTCCCTGACTTAGTGTAAAAACAGCTCAGCAATAACGAAAACATCCCTGTGTTATCAACATTATTCTCATCCTGAATCCAAAACACAGAACTATGCCATCTACCAGGAAGAAAATTAACTCTATCCTAGTGAAAGCCAGGGCAAGTTACCAAAAAAGTGACTTACGGACAGACTCATTTGAAGGCAAAGATCTACAGATCCATTCTGCATTATTTTCCAGTACAAACCGGAAGATATAACCAAACACACCATAGACGGATTAAGAGAACCAAAGATGCACAGTAATGGCATTTCAGTATCCTTTTTATATACTTACAAGAAACAGGTCTAAACCATGTCTTGCCTAAAATTACATGCATGGCTTGAAATACATGGTAGACAAAATTCTTTTTGGCAATGCACAAAGGATGTCACAAACAACTATTTTAAAGTTAAGATGATCTTCACATTTCAGAGAAATGCGGCTTAAGGAAGAATTATGGATCTTGCATCTGTTCTACCTTCAGGGTTCCAACCCAGGACTTGTTCTACCCAAAAACCCTGACAGCTTTTCATCTACCAGAAAAACCCAGCCTCTGATTTGAAGAGGAGGAGGATTCATTATTGTCTTAAAATAATGAAAACTTCTGAACTAAAAAGTCTATTTTAAAATTCTTCAGTTTGTTTACAGGGGAAATTTTTACCAGGTGTGGCAACAGTGTTGGAGCCCCTATCTGTATGTTTTCTTTTACAAACAGAAAAAACACAGTAATTAAAAAACAAACTTATACTAGAAATACAGACTCATGTAGGAAGAGACACCTGGGTGGCCTCTAGTCTTACCTCCTGCTTAAAGCGGGTCCAATGAGAGCAGGTTGCTCAAGAACTTCTTGAGTTTTGAACATCTCCAAGGAGAGAGATTCCACAATTTCACTGGTCAATCTGTTTAAATGTTTTACTACTATCATGGTAATTTTTTTCCCCAGTGTCTAGTCAGAATTTCTCATGTTCCAGCTTGTGTCTGTTGCTTCCCATCCTATGCCATGCACTTCTGAGACAAGTCTGGCTCTTCCCCAGAGCCTCTCATTAGGTATTTGTGGATGACAGGAAGATGTCCCTTTGAACAGTTCTCTCAACAACATCAGTTCTCTCACCCCCTCCTCACACATCATGGGCGCCAGACCCTTGACAGTGTTCTGCTGGGCTCCAGTATATCAATATCCTACACTGGAAAGCCCAAAACTGGACACAGTACACCAGATATGGTCTCATAAGCCTGGAACAGAGGTGAAGAATCACTTCTTACAACCAACTCACTACGTTTTTGCTAATGCAACCCAGTACGCCATTGGGCTTCCTTGCTACAAGAGCACTGCTGAATCATATTCAACTTGCTCTCCACTAGGTCATGCAGGTCTTTCTCCGCTAGCCTGCTTTGTTTCCAGTCAGTCTGCAGTCTGTATGTACTGATGCATGGCATTACTTCCTCCCAAATGCAGGATTTGGTACCTACCTCTGCTGAGCTTCAAAAGGTTCCTGTCAGCCCATTCATTTCTCCAGCCTACTAAGATCCCTTTGCATAGCAGCCCTGCGCTTCAATGCACTGAGACCTCCACCACTGTCACTTTTTTATCGTATGCAAGCCCTCTGAGAGACTGAATAGAGATCAGTACTAATATAATCAGGTCAGTTTAAAAGTTCTCATCTTTACGTCCTTTTTAACTTTACACCTTTTAATTAACTAGGCACGCTCTAGCTTTATTCACACAAACAGTCCCACTGCACTCACTAAACCTCTACTGACTTCAATGAGACTATCTTACAAATCAAAAGTTAAGCATATGTATTAGCAGAAAAGGGACACTGTTTAAAAAAATCTGTTGCTGATTCAGGAACCATAATAGAAGACATCTCATTCTTACATGTCCGTATGGTTCTATATGACAAATGAGAAGAAAAACAAGTGTCCACAATTTCCAACAGGCCCTTCTAGTAACCCTAAAGTACAATTACTAATGAAGGTTTTCATCTTGGTGAATTCAACTTCCATCACCCCAGACTGCCCAAATATAAACAAACCAAAGTTTTTCTGAGCCTGAAAATTTCAGAGATGCCAACTAGCATCTTACTATTAACTGACACAAATCACAAGACCACTAAAGGCAATGATAAAAGCAAACACCAGAGCTACCCACCAGAAGCCTAAGAAGGGACATGGTATGGCAGACTAATTACCTTTCCCTTTCTCCTGTAAATCACAAAAACATAGCGAACTCCAAAACAAATACCTGCTTCTTTCTCAGAAATGAAGTACTTCAAATTTTGCCATTAACCTACCGTCTCCACTTGAACACTATTTTGGATTCAAGCAAGTTAAAAGTTTTAACTGCTACTTCAGATATCTGCTCATCCAGATATTCATATTCTGTAACTGCAGTTGAGTTTAACTTATTCTCAGCTCTAGCTGGGTTTACCTCCCATGCAGATAAACCCCTGTTTCTTGATAATCGCAAGAAAAGAATGTTTTGTGGTAGAGATACCAACAACCCTCTTCTTGCTAGGAGGAAGCTATGTTTCCCGATGTGTTACCTCCAGTACCAGAGTAGTGGCTTCACTGTAGGGTATCTATTAGCCTCTGACTTGCAGATGGCCAGAAAACACCTTACATTTCTACATGATAAAAGAAACTAGATGGCCAATTAAACACTAGCATAATATAATTTCTTTAAAGCGTAACACCAATGCTCTAGTA